CCACCCTGGGCCCACTCCCCAGCCCTCCTTCCCCCACCTCTCACCTTCTCTCTCCTCTCGGCTCCTTCCTGTCCTTTAAAACCCCGAACTCCTCTGCATCCTCGGTTGCCCCAGGACCAGCCCGCTTCCTGCTTCCTGCCTCCTCTCCGGCCTGTGGCTTTGGTTTGCACCGGTGTCTGCCGGCTGACCTGGGACCAGCAGAAAACACAGGCAAAGTCCGCTTGTGTCTCTTGATTCTTGGCAGTTAGCATCGGGACAGTTATGTCAGGTCACCCCCTGGAGCTCAGGGACAGAGTCTAGCAGTGAGCGCTGATGAGGACACCCCTCGGTGAAGAAGACACGTTCCCATTCCTCCCACTTTACGTGGAGAAGGGAGCCACGGTCCTCGAGACACCTCCCCAGATGTCTCCCAAGACGCAGGCACACTGCATCACCTGAAGCAACACAGGCCCAGCAGTATACATGCCTTTTCTGTGGTTTTGCAGTGATTTGGTCTCCTTGTCTGAGTGTGCCAGTGATCAAGCTCTCATTTCAGGATACTCTGGCTAGTGGGAAATTCACACCCTGGTACTACAGTTAGTGGGACTTACCATTTACCTACCTATCACATACTACGTGTGTCTTTCACATTTGACATTTTCACCCAAAAAAATTATCTGATATCACCACGCCTGTGAGGTAGGCATCATCACCCCCACCTTAAGGAGAGACTGAGAGTCTATGCGACCCTTTTGAGACCTTACATCTAATACAGAGCTGATTAGGAACAGAACCCAGGTCTCAGACTCAGAATATTTCCCCTTCTGTTCTCTTCAAGGCCTCTGGTGTGGTGGTCCACAGTCACTCATTCCCGGTGACTGCGGAATGGGGTTTTCTCCACTGAATGTATCAAGCCTTCTTGTCTTCCAGGCTCAGTTTAAATCAAAAGGTCCAGTCTGACAACCACAGTGTAGGACTTGATAGGTCTCTCTTGCCATATTCTCTATCTCAGCACCCTACTTATTTATTTGTGTGTGTGAGTTGGAGTTCCACTTTGTCGCCCAGGTTGGAGTTCAGTGCCACACTCATGACCACCGCAGCCTCAACCTACTGGGTTCAGGTGATCCTTCCACCTCAGCCTTCCAAGTAGCTGGAACCACAGGCATGCGCCATCACACCCGGCTAACTCTTTTATTTATTGTAGAGATGAGGTCTCACCAAATTGCCCAGGCTGGTCTTGAACCCGTGGGCTCAGGCAATCCTTTCACCTTGGCCTCCCAAAGTGCTGGG